TCAATCTCTCCTCTGATCAATGGTTGAAAGCAGCTCAAGGAGGCTGCAAGACGGGACTGGAACCAAGTACTTCAATGAACTAAAGAACAGACAGTAACAACCAACGCACATTGTTTAACGCGAAGCCAGCACTGTTCTAAACACTTAACACATTAATGCACTTAATCTGCGACCGCCTCTATGACGCAGATTCTATTATCATCATCCCGTTTTACAGATGAGAAAAGGAGGCATGACTAAATAAGTAACCTGTCTGAGGCTTCACGGCAGGTAAGTAACGGAGCAAGAACTTGGCCTTCAGCAGTCTGGCTTTAAGTGACTCACTTTCAATAACTCTACTTACTGCTTCTCCGTCAACTGTACAGTGATCAGACCCACCACTTCAGTTCTGTCAATGCTATGTGCTCAGCCAGAAGCCCAGGTTTCATGGTGGGTGTACGGCTCTACTTTATCTGCAGTCATGAAACGTTTGCTTTCTCCAAGGGGTCTGGATTATGGCAATTAGTGCTCAAATTACCCATACCTTGGGCTTGGGCAGATTACCTTATTTGGCATTTTTTTTAAATTCAAATAGTTTCATAAGTCATCCATTCCACCACATAAAATACACCATTTAGTAGTGCGTGCATGTGTGTGCCAAGTCACGTCCAACTCTTTGTGACCCCACGGACTGTATAGCTCTTCTGTCCATGAGGATTCTCTAGGCAAGAATACTGGAGCGGGCTGTCATTCCCGTCGCCAGGAAATCTTCCCAACCCCAGGATCGAACCTGCGTCTCTTATGTCTCCTATGTAGAAGCCTCAGGAAATTGAGTTTAGGGTTAGGACGATTCTCCCATTAACAGAACACTGGTCAGAAAGCTGGGAGGAAGAGGTGATTCCTTAAACCTAAGTCTTGGAGAGGATCAGCATTGTGATGAGAATCTCTGACAACTGGCCGTTTTAAGAGGCTTTGCGACCATCATTCTCAACATCATTTCTCACAGTACAGCAGTGCAAAAGGCATATGGCCTACACGGTTTTAACTAAATGGTAAACACCATCCCCCAGCATGCTTGGAAGGTTGATTTTCTGAGTAAATCATATTCTCCTAAGGGGTGAAATGCCACTTTCCAAGTAATCTCCTGAATATGTAGTCTTTTTAATCCTTGTTAAAGGGGCCCCTTGTACACTTGGCCCCTAAAAATGCAGACTTCGAGGAGTAACAGCACAGAGTAATTTTTCAAAGACTATGTTACATACAAATTATACTCCATTGTGCAGATTATCTTCCGGTGGTCCCTTTCACATATTACTACACTTCAGGTCCTATCCATGAAACAAACCAACCTCCTGACTTGTCTCCAAATTCAAAATACATGGTATCATAGGCAATGGGCAACTGTGCATTTTTTGTTATTCCCATTCTCAACATTAATAATGACAAAATGTACCCTCAAGCTTCTAAATCTTTAGAACACAGCATTAAAAAAAAAACCACTACAGGTGAAATAAAAATTTATATTAAGAACATTTAAAAGAATGATAGCTTTTAAGAGGAAATCACAAGTTTAAAAAAAAAAAAACCCTAGTTGTTGAAAGAGTATTATTGGCAGTGGTTAACAAACTCTTTATGCTCCCAACAAAAGGTGGGGGGGCGGGGGTGTGTGTGCAAAAAACCATGTTATAAAACATGCATGTACTACTGTTAGTCTGTACCTTGAAGATTAATATATATATTTTTCATTTACTTTTATTAGTTGGAGGCTAATTACAATATTGTAGTGGTTTTTGCCATACATTGACATGAATCAGCCATGGATTTACATGTGTTCCCCATCCTGACCCCCCCTCCCACCTCCCTCCCCATCCCATCCCTCTGGGTCTTCCCAGTGCACCAGCCCCGAGCACTTGTCTCATGCATCCAACCTGGACTGGCAATCTGTTTCACACTTGATAATATGCAGTCTTATTTTATAGAGGTGATGTTTAAAAAAAATCAAGGGCTTATTGCTTTCTTCCAAATGAATCATCTGGCACCCACCTTAGAAGCCGAATCCCTAAAAAATTTATGATTTCCAATCTCTTCTATTTGCAAACGTAAAGCACCATTTTCTACTACAAAATATCTTAAATAAAAGCCCATCAAAAAGAAAAAACAACCATTCATTCTTCTGACCACAGATGAGGGCCAGCTGCTCCCAGTCCACATTTCCTATCCCTAAACTTTGTAGACAATAGGGACTGTATGCTTGGGTCTTGGGCTCGTTTCTAAGGCAAGAAGTAATGATCCAACATGGAAAGACACCAGCGTCATCACTCCTAAGACAATAAGACAGACAGCCAGATGGTTTACCTTCCATCAGTCAGCACTTTCTAGACTTGACCCAAAGAGACCTGTTAATTCCACCCACGTTCTCCTTTCTGCCACCAGAAACTACTACTGTACGCCTGAAAAGCCACGGTCCATGAAAAACCAAGAGGCAGGCTCCTTTGGCGTTCTCCTAAAGAAATCTTTATGAAGAACAGATTAAGTGCATTTTCTGAGATGTATACACCACACAACAGCAAAACCACAACAGGGAAACAAAAAAACCCTGAGTGCAGTAAGAGAAATGAATATTTCTGTTACAGTACTGTTGGGAGGTGACTCCTAGCTGCACATTTCTTCCTCTGGTTTAGCTCTCACTGGCACAAATTTCTCAGGCACTAGGTCATGAGGCTGCTCTGTGTTTAAACACCACCTCAGCATTACTTGGCCGCTTCCTAAGAGTGCTGGCACCTCACCCACTGATTACCTGCATATCCACACACACACACAACTCCAGCTTCAGGCCTCTGAAGCAACCCTTCTGGAGCACTCCTTGGCCTTTTATAGTGGAGGCATGTGATGAGCCTACCGGCACCAGCTGCTCCTAATTACCTCTCCGGCTGGGCGAATGACTCAGCAGCCCAACTTTCTTTTTAAGGAGTCATCTACCTTGCGAGCCAACCAACAAACTGAACAATGGTAAAGCACTTGACACTGTTATAGGTTAAACAACAACAATCACGCAGGATGCCTGGCTATCACTTAAACCAAGGCCGTCCTACTGCAAGCTGAGTCACCAGGTGTCTCCCCCCCCCACCCCCCTCCCAGGCTTCCCTAGTGGTTCAGAGGGTAAAGAATTTGCCTGTAAAGTGGGAAACCCAGGTTCGATCCCTGGGTGGGGAAGATTCCCCTGGAGAAGGGAATGGCAACCCACCCCAGTATTCTCGCCTGGAGAATCCCACGAACAGAGGAGCCTGGCGGGCTACACACCACGGGGTAAGCTGAACGACTAACATCTTTCTTTTATTCCAAAGGCTGAAGTAGCAAGCGTTTTCCAGTCCAGCCAGCCCTTGCACCACTACCCAAGACCAGGAAGAAGCCAGCCGGCGTCTTCCCACTTCTCGGCTAGACCATGTGAAGCGCTCAAGCGCGCTCCGTCACTCGCACGCCCCAGTGTTTCCACCCCTTTACCATTCGGAACTGCCGCCGGAAAGGCAAACCCCTCCTGGCTATAAGGAGTGTCAAAACACAGGAACCCAAGGTCTAGCCGTACCGCCCTCCACACCCGATACTGACAGAATTCCCCCCAAAAGACAAGGCGTCCCTACAAAACAGCCTTTTGTTCCTCCGAGCCTGACCTCAGTAGCTTGTTCCCCACCCCCACCCCCCACGCAGTTCCTTCCACAATGACTACTACGCTGTAGCTCGGAATCAGCCCGAATCCAACGCTCACTTTGCACAAAAGCCTTTCTGCACGTTCTACTCAATGACAAAAAACCTCCGCGCAAGGACGCGCGAGCGACGGCACTCGCCTGAAACACGCACAAAACTGGCGTCTCTACGAGCAACACCCACTCTCACCCGACAGGAGAGCCTTTAATTACAGCGTGCCGGGCAAAACTCCCAACAAAGGGGGGGTGGGGAGGGGGCCTGGGATCCCCCGGGGGTCCCCCAAACCAGTCTTGGGCTAAACCCAGCCAGCCCCGCAAGGTGGTGTCTGTGCTCCAGCCACCAACTCGGCCTTTCGGAGTCCGCGATTACACGCGCCACCTACACCCCCCGGCTCCCCCCGCCCAGGCTGGGCAGACGGGAGGCCGACAGCTCGCGGGCCGCGGCGGCTGAGGGTGGGCGGGAGAACAATACGGAGCCAGGACGGGCCGGGCCAGCCGCGCGGGCGGTGCTGAGGTGTCACAGCCGGGCGCGCGGGATCGGGGCGGGGGTGGGGTGCGCCCGGGAGGCGGCGGAGGGGCACCCCAGCCCCGCGGCGCCGGGTAAAGTACAGAGCCGGTCCGTAAACAGCGACGCCGGCGGCGCGCGGGGCCGCTCGCCCCTTCCGGCAGACGCGGCCACTTCCAGGAACCGGAGCCCGCGGCCGCCCCGCGCGGGCCCCGCTCAGAGGCCCCCCGCGCCAGCCGCCCAGAACCAGAGAGCTGCCGCCCCGAGTCCTCCCCTCCGCCGCCTCCCCCGGACCCGCCTGAGACCGCCCCTCACCGGCCGACGGCCCAGACCGCGAGCCGCCGCCGCCGCGCCGAACCCTCCGGGAGAAGGGCGCCCGGGACGCAAGAGCAACTCACCACAGCCGAGACGCGGTGCGGCCCGACCCGACTGACGGCAGCGAGCGAGCCCGACGGGCCGCGCGGGCAGCGATCAGGTGACTCACTCCCTCCCCGCGGCCGGCCGCCCCCTCCGCGCCCCACCCCTCCTTCTCTCAGACGCCGCGGCCGCCGCCGCCCCCGCCCCTCCCGGCGCCAAAGCCCCGCCCACCCGCCTCGCGAGGCCCCGCCCCGTGGGCCAGCCTCGCGAGGCCCCGCCCCTCCCTCTACGGCGCGCCTAAACCCCGCCCTCCCGAAAAGCTCGCCCCACACACACGCACGCCGGGAATCCCAGCTCTGCTGATTCCTGCACCTGGCTCCCTGCGGCCGAAGCCCACCCAACGGGAATGCAGGGTAGGACCGCATGCGGGTACCGGGCAGGGCAGGCTAGTGCAGGCGATGGTGTCTTTGCAACCTCCGCGGGCGGCGCCCCTTTGCAGGCACAGCCCGCTGTCTGAACGAAAAAAAAACCACCTGAGGACCATCATCTCCTCCTTTCCTGCTTCAAGAGGAAAGGAAAAGCCTGATGGCCTGCTCGCTCGGAGTGTTGCCTGGACACCCGAAGTCGAGTGCCAGCGGACACCAGGAGGGGAAGACGAGCGCCGGCCCAAGTCCCTCTCCCCAGACCAGACCCCATCAGAGGTATCTTCTGGCAGCAAGCTCCTCTGCCTTCTCCTGGGTGTGGCGGGGCGCCCAGGTTCGCAGGTATTTGAGCTTGCTGATAGGGATGCATCAAGTAAACCCAGGATTTTGTAGAAAGTATCTGGCAGCCCTGGTGTCTGACTGTGAAAACAACAGCGTCGGCTAGCAGGTGTCCCCTTTACACAGTGTCTGCCAGGAAACTTGGAACCGGGTTCAGCGCCCCAGCGGTGTCAGCCAGCTCATCTCCGCCCGGGGTCAGGCATTCATCTCTTCTGCTGTTTACTCTGGTTTTTATCCAGTTTTCAGCTTTAAAATTAAGTTCCCAGTCCACTTAAGCATCTCTGCAGTTCAAAGCACTGACTGTGGGCAGAGACGCCCACCTGGCAAAAAGCCTACACTTCCCAATCCAACGGGAGACCCGAGTGCCCTTTCACTGTGCCAGTCGATTGGAGGCCAGATCTTGGGATTTTTGCAATCAGCTTTTGATTCAGGTTGAAACACAGACACTGATGGCTGGACAGCATCAGCAACAGGAGATGAAAACTCATTCTGGGGCACAGGAAGACAGCCCCGCACCTCCCAGTGCAAAAAAGGCTACCAAGTTAACAAAAGTCAGGTATTGTCACTAATGTGACAATTAGTTGTCACAATTAATTGTCACTAATGTGACAATTAGTTGTCACAATTAATTGTCACTAATGTGACAATTAGTTGTCACAATTGTCACTAATGGGACAACTTCTAAGATTTAAAAAAGGCAAAATAATATAAAAAAATAAGCTATTAATATAAGGATATATTGTACAACACAACAATATTTATTTTATGATGACAGCAAATGAAGTATAACCTTTAAAAATTCTGACTACATTTGTACTCACAGACTGAGACTGAGAGACATTTGAGTTACATCCAAAATACACGAGAAAATGATGAGTGAAATTGTGTGGAGTCCAAGGGGGCGAAGTGATTGACTGTTACCTAGAATTTGGCCAGGAGGTGACATTTGCGTTAAAGAATGGGACCCTACACGAGAAGGAGGGAAGACTGCATGCAACAGTCTAAAGGTGGAAGGCAGATGGCATTTCAGGCTTCCTGAGTGCGTGCATGCATGCCTGCTCAGTCACTGACTCTTTGCTAACCCCATGGACTGTAGCCCGCCAGGCTCCTCCATCCATGGGATTCTCCAGGCAGGAATACTGGAGTGGGTTGCCATCCTCTTCTCCAGGGTATCTTCCTAATCCAGGAACCAAACCCTCATCTTTTATGTCTCCTGCATTGGGCACATGGGTTCTCTACTACTAGCACCATCTGGGAAACCCTTGTGTTTATTCAATATTGAAATGGTAAGTAAGGTGAAAGGACTGTAGCCTCTGACTTGGGATGTTCACAACTTCTAAGATTTAAAAAAGGCAAAAATAATTTTTAAAAAAGCTATTAATATAAGGATATATTGTACAACACAGCCATATTTATTTTATGATGACAATAAGTGAAGTATAACCTTTAAAAATTCTGAGTCACTATATTATACACCTGTAACATATAACATATAAAATTGTACATCAGGTATACTTCAGTTTTTTAAAAGGCAGTAATAGAGAAAGAAAGAGGATTATATTGGAGCTGAAGAACTTAATGTGATAGGGGCCAAATTGGTGAAAGAGGTGCTACTGGAATACCAGATTTAATCACAACCTAAGTGACTTAGTGTAGGGTCTGAGTAGGGAAAAATTCTTGTGCCTTCAAAAACCAGTAAGGAATTAAAAATGGCAAAAACTCTTTTGTCACTCTCTCCATCAAGAGGGGAATTTGTTTTCCAGCCATTTGAATCTGGACTGATGCTATAACTTCATAGCCAGGAGAACACTGCAGAAATGATTCTGGGTTTAGTCTTTGGATTGTTATCTCCCACTTCCTCTTTCTTGGGACCCTCCCTCTCAGACAAGTCACCATGCTGTGACAAGCTCAGCATGGGCCATGTGTACCCTCTCTAGTCAACTGTCCCCAGCAGAGCAACCGGCCAATTTGTTGTTTTTTAGTCACTCAGTCGTGTCTGACTCTTTGTGACCCCATGGACTGCAGCAGACCAGGCTTCCCTGTCCTTCACCATCTCCAGGAGTTTTCAGATACTTATCACTCATGAGTCAGTGATGTTATCCAACCATCTCATCCTCTGTTGCTCCCTTCTCCTTCTGCCCTCAGTCTTTCCCAGGCAGGCTACTGTCCATGTCTCTCAACCAGCCAGTATTTGGCATCAAATGTGTCATGAGTGAGTCACCTTTGATGTTCTGTTCTAGTCAAGTTTAAACATGACTCCAACCCAGCCAAAAACAAAACCAAAAAACTCCCAACAGAGTCCAATGAATTCATAAAAACATAAGATAATAAAATGATTGCTGTTTTAAGCCACTAAGTCTTGGGGTGGTTCGGTTAAGGAAAATATCTGGTAATGCAGTAGAGCATGAAGATATAATTAAATTTGTGAGGAAACTCACAAGGTAAGTGGTCAAGGCTGAGAGGAAAGTTCAGATAAATAAAACAGGAAATATGTACAAGAAACTCGTTTTAAACCTGTGCCAAGCTCCTTGATCTGAGATGACACTTGAGATTCTCCTCAATTACAAATTAATTGTGCCCCAAAATTTCTTCAGTCTGCTGTTGATAGAATTAAGTAGAGAAATTGTTATTCTCTCAGAAGTTAATGCTAAAAATTGTTCTTCACATATATATAAATATACACATGTTGTTCATATATGTATATATATGTGAAGCTCAAACTCCAATACTTTGGTCACCTCATGCAAAGAGTTGACTCATTGGAAAAGACCCTGATGCTGGGAGGGATTGGGGGCAGGAGGAGAAGGGGATGACAGAGCATGAGATGGCTGGATGGCATTACCGACTGGATGGGCATGAGTTTGAGTAAACTCTGGGAGTTGGTCATGGACAGGGAGGCCTAGCGTGCTGCAATTCATGGGGTCGCAAAGAGACACGACTGAGCAACTGAACTGAACTGAACATATTTTGTTGTTGTTGTTCAGTCACTAAGACGTGTCCAACTCTTGACACTCAGGATGCCCTCTGCCTCTGTAAAGTGAAGAAAGTGAAATTGGCTCAGTCTGTCTGACTCTTTGCCACCCCATGCACTGTAGCCCACCAGGTTCCTCTGTCCATGGGATTTCCCAGGCAAGAATGCTGGAGTTGCCTTTTCCTTCTCCATGTTATCTTCCCGAGCTGGGGATCAAACCCTTGTCACCTGCATTGGCAGGCAGATTCTTTACCAGAGCCACCAAGGAAGCCCAACCTTTACCTGGAGGTACTGCCAGAGCAACTTGATTCTAGGGCTGGTGCTAACCCTCCACCTTGGCTAGCCTCAGGGTACACTGCTGTCCATTTCCTGCCTGTTTCTCGCCAGTCCCCAGATTTATTCACCAGGTCCAGTCTTGGGGATAACCAGTGTGAATATATTAAACACATACGAGGAAAGAATGTAACTGTCAAAAAGAGGAACCCATCAAAATCTGAAGCCAAGAAGAGGGGAGCCAGAGAAGCAAACACAGGCAATACATGCTGGCACTGGGGTGTGAGGGTGAGGGTGCATCAGCCAAGGATGCGGGAACAGGTATCTCCTGCTTTTCAAAAGTTCACTTTATACCACTTTGATTTTTACAGAATACCTGCATGAGTACTTAGCTTTACTAACCGAAAGAAATCTGAAGAGGGTTTTTATTTTCACGGAAAAAAGTGAAAACAGCATTCAGCTTTTGTTTCCCGGAGAAGGGGATAGCAACCCACACGAGTATTCTTGCCTGGAGAATCCCATGTACAGAGGAGCCTGGCGGGCTGCAGTCCACGGGGTCGCGAAGAGTCAGACACGACTGAGCGACTAACACTAGGTTTTGCAGTGAGCCTGTATAGAGGCAGGGCTGCCCTGGTGCCTCAGACGGTAGAGTCTGCCTGCAATGCAGGAGATCCGGGTTGAAACCCTGGATCCAGAAGATCCCCTGTAGAAGGGAACGGCTACCCACTTCAGTGTTCCTGCCTGGAGAATTCCACGGACAGAGGAACCTGGCCGACTGTATAGTCCATGGGGTCGCGAAGAGTCAGACACGACTGAGCGACTAACACTTTTATTTTAGAGGCAGCGCGCATCCTGAGCGCCAAGAGTGGCGCCACCCAGCTCATCCCCTGAGAACTGCACTCGGCGTCTCAGTGTTAAGCTGCCACAGTTCCGAGTTGTATCCGAGCATCTGTGTTTTATCTCAATTTATTTTGAGCATTCATTAGCAATATATAGCCTAAGGTAATTACTTCGTAACTTTATGCCATTTCAGCTTATGAAAGCTTTCATAGGAACACTCTCCTTTCTCTCAGAAGGTGAGGAAAACTGTATTTTATTCCCAGGTACTGTTACCTGCAGGTCTTGGGGAGGATGGGAGCTGAGGGCTACCGTGTCTTAGTTCCACTAGATTAGCCACCTAGGTCACCCCATTTACATCGCTATTTTATTTCATTCTAATGATTTGCTTCACACAGACATCTTCCTACAGGGAGACATTATTTCACTAGTGAGCATCAACTGTTGGTATGTTTGCTGGCAATATTCTCATCATAAACTAATAAATCATCTTTCTGGTTGTCTTTCTGCCTCTACAGCTTCGAGTGAGTGGGTATTCAAAAGACAAAGAGTCACTGAGAGGCGTAGAGTTCAGGGTTTCTGATCTGCAAGTATAGAATCTTACTGAGATGACAAGGTAAAGCCCAGGGTCACCTGTCCCAGGTCCCCTACTTCACAGGAACTCTCTTTGTATTCATCGCTAGTGAGCTTTAGATCTGGGGCACTATGTCACCCATTCACTTCCCTTTCCCTAAATCCCTGTTTGGCAGGCACTAGTTGTCTACTCAACATCCGTCACCCCTTCTTCTTTCTATTCTGATTGAAAATGAAGTCGCTCAGTCATTTCCAACTCTTTACAACCCTGTGGACTGTAACCTACCAGGATCCTCCGTCCATGAGATTTTCCATGCAAGAATGCTGGAGTGGGTTGCCAGTTCCTTCTCCAGGGGATCTCCCAGACTCAGGGATTGAACCTGGATCTCCCTCATTGCAGGCAGATGCTTTACCCTCTGAGCCATCAGGGAATTCTGATTGAATGTATACTTAAAAACACTTGAAAACGCCGCCCCAGACTCCCATAGCCATGTGACCTAGGTCTTGGTCAACCTGATATAAGCATGTACACACTCAGTAGAAGTTCCAGAAAGGCACTTACTTTTCTGATAACAGAAAACCGAATCAGCAATGTGCAGTTTTGCCCTGTGCCCTCCCTGCCTTGCTTGATTGGAGGCGGGGCTCTTTTCTTTCATCCATGAAGATGAGAACTACACTCTAAGGATAGCAGACCAGGAAGCTAGTAAGAAGCTCAGGTCCTGTCAGTTTTCTTGAGCAGCTGACCAGTCCTAGTTGTGGGGTTCACTCTTCTTATCATACCAGAAAAAGAAAACCCTATTCAGCCAGGCTTATAGAGTTGAGTGTCTGTTACATGAAGCCAAAGTCAGCCTTAACTGATAACTTTTCTTAATTTCCAGGCTTTGCCAAGTCCCCCATATTACTCTGTTTAAAGCACACCCTGAGAACCCTGAAGACACGTATCCTAAGTTACGTGGGAATGAATAAGTTATTATGATCAATGCAAACTATGCATACGACCCCGAAAGCTAGCAAACAAATAGCAGTGAAGAGCAGTATGATCATGTTGAGAGTATTAAAAGGACAAAAAATTGGATTTCATTATGAAATTGCAAAGAGTATTATTATTGACTTCTGGATTGCCATATCCTCTTAGGTATAACTAGGACACAAATAAGAAAACAGAGATGCAGTTAAGTCAGTAAAAATACTCTGATAAAATTCCAGGAAATGGCTCTTCTAAAACGTGGGACAGTTGCCAAAGAGGGGTAAAAAGGAAGTTAAAATCATTCAGAACAATGGATTTTAGCTCCTCAAAAACACTGGGAAGCATAAGGAATTGTATGGAATTATTTTGATAATTGAAACTCTTCCTCTTTTAATATGCATTTTATAACTGAACCATCAAAGTCTGCATTGCAGTTAGAGTACACGAATTGAAAGAGGCATAACAACTTACAGCAGCCAAAATAAAGAAATCCACATCTATGCCATGAAGCTGTAAGAATTAGGAGATGCTGAATCCCATTTAGTCAAACAAAATGTCTTTTCACACTAATAATTTGAGAATTTTTTCCTAAGTACAGGGAGACTTTAGAATTAATATTAAGTTTAGAGTTCTAAAAGCATCCATTTAAACTGATGAGAACATTAAAAAAAATTGCCTCCTGGCTAAATAAGATTTCCAGAAGAAACTCTATTGGGATGTGTTTTATATCCCTTAGGATAAATGAGGAAAGGAAACCGAGGGTATATCTCTAATTAACTACATGTGCCCCATGGGTTTCCCAAAACAATCTCTAATATAATTTAATTCTTTATCCTTAGCAATGAGAAGTCAAGCATAAAACCATGTGCAAGCACCACATGGTGTGCCATAGAAAGGAAGCAAAAATAAACAGACTTTTTTTTATCATCTTTAATAGGCAAAATCCATACTTCTGTTACCAGATCAAGAGAGATCAAGTTTTGCCTTTTGTACTTCTCTATTTGGTGTCTGAAATCCCTTGGAGATTAATTTGGGAAGGATACTGTTTTTGCATATTCAGAAGTTCTCTGTTAAGATAAAAATTGCTTCAAAAGACAAGTACACCAAGCTGCCTTCAAGGACAATCACAAATATTCTAGTAAGAATAAACTTATAAAAACACTCATAGTGTATGGGGTTCAAATGCGTTTCGATAGGAAAGTAGAAGTCGAAGAAAATTGAAAGCTATACCTGGGAGCCATGCTACTTAAAGAACTGTGATGCAGTCAGGAAAAGCAATAGTGGGGCATTGAATGCAAAATAGTAGGATACTGACAGAGACCAATTCAGAAGTACGGCCAGGAGCTGGCACAGTTTTGGGGAACTAAGGTTTCCTATTCAGTAAATAGGTACTGAACAGAGTTTCGCCAAGAGAATGCACTAGTCATAGCAAACACCCTCTGCCAACAACACAAGAGATGATTCTACACATGGACATCCCCAGATGGTCAATACTGGACTCAGATTGATTATATTCTTTGCAGCCAAAGATGGAGAAGCTGTATACCAGTCAGCAAAAGCAAAACAGGGAGCTGACTGTGGCTCAGATCATGAACTCCTTATTGCAAAATTTAGACTTAAATTGAAGAAAGTAGGGAAAAACCATTATTAGACCATTCAGGTATGACCTAAATCAAATCCCTTACGATTATACAGTGGAAATGACAAATAGGCTCAAAGGATTAGATCTGATAGAGTGCCTGAAGAACTATGGATGGAGGTTCATGACATTCTACAGGAGGCAGTGATCAAGACCATCCCCCAAAAAAAGAAATGCAAAAAGGCAAAATGGTTGCCTGAGGAGGCCTTAGAAATAGCTGTGAAAAGAAGAGAAGTGAAAGGCAAAGGAGAAAAGGAAAGATATACCCTTTTGAATGCAGAGTTCCAAAGAATAGAAAGGAGAGATAAGAAAGCCTGCCTCAGTGATCAATGCAAAGAAATAGACGGAAACAATAGAATAGGAAAGACTAGAGATTTCTTTAAGAAAATTAGTGATACCAAGGAAACATTTCATGCAAAGAGGAGAACAATAAAGGACAGAAATGGTATGGACCTGCAGAAGATATTAAGAAGAGGTGGCAAGAATACACAGAAGAAATATACAAAAAAGATCTTCATGTCCCAGATAACCATGATGGTGGTGTGATCACTCACCTAGAGCCAGACATCCTGGAATGTGAGCTCAAGTGGGACTTAGGAAGCATTACTATGAACACAGCTAGTGGAGGTGATGGAATTCCAGTTGAGCTATTTCAAATCCTAAAGGATGATGCTGTGAAAGTGCTGCACTCAATATGCCAGCAAATTTGGAAAACTCAGCAGTGGCCACAGGACTGGAAAAGGTCAGTTTTCATTCCAATCCCAAAGACAGGCAATGCCAAAGAGTGTTCAAACTACTGCACAATTGCACTCATCTCACATACTAGCAAAGTAATGCTCAAAATTCTTCAAGCCAGGTTTCAACAGTACATGGACCTGTGAATTCCCAGATGTTCAAACTGCATTTAGAAAATGCAGAGGAACCAGAGATCAAATTGCCAACATCCATTGGATCATCAAAAAAGCAAGAGAGCTCCAGAAAAACATCTATTTCTGCTTTATTAACTGTGCCAAACTTTGACTTTGTGGATCACAACAAACTGTGGAAAATTCTTAAAGATCTTTAAGACCAGATCACCTGACCTGCCTCCTGAGAAATGTGTATGCAGGTCAGGAAGCAACAGTTAGACTGGACATGGAACAACAGACTGGTTTGAAATGGGGAAAGGAGTACATCAAGGCTGTATATTGTCACCCTGCTTATTTAACTTACATGCAGAGTACATCATGCAAAATGCTGGCCTGGATGAAGCATGAGATGGAATCAAGATTGCCGGGAGAAATATCAATAACCTCAGATATGCAGATGACACCACCCTTATGGCAGAATGTAAAGAAGAACTAAAGAGCCTCTTGATGAAAGTGAAAG